AACGCAAACGTTTTCCCTATTTACATGTTGTGATTTGTTAGTCACATAATGTACAAATAACAAAGTCAAATGAGACACAGACATCTTTTAACCGTATTAAAACCTGGGAACTATTCTCTGAAGGCGAAGCACTGCTACTTTGACGGCGTAATAACCGCATCACCGGAGACACGCCGTGGTGAGGAGCGGAGAGTTCGCTCGGTGTTTGGGTAATAGAGTCAGCAATTTATAAATAGTAAAAGCGTAGTTTAGAGTTCATGGGTTTTCGCTCTATTTGTAAATAGCTGCGACTGTAAACAGGGGAGGTAATACCATGTTTCACAGAATTCCAACTAAAAACGCTGACTGGATGAAGAAATGGCTAACTTACTTACTCTGGATATTGATCCAAACACACCTAAGATTATCAAGGGACATTATGTTTGCTTGGTACATTTCAATGAGGACGACTATTTTGAAAAAATGGAATTTGCCACACGGACCATAATGTGCTGAAGGATACGGCCATCCCATCGATAGCACAGACAGGACAAGTGGATCACCTGCGGCTGAGGTGAGAAGTGTGTTTCCGTTATGTTTTTAGATGACCTACTGTAACAGTGGCTTTAGCCGGATCTAATGTAACGTTAGTGACACTATTATATGATTAGGGTATGAATATGTTTTTATCTTGATGCGGTGCGGACGCGCTTGGGAAAAAAAAACGAGCGCGTTCACCGCGTTGAACTTGCACCCTGCGCGCGGCGCGCCTAGTAGCCTAAATTTGAAATAACCATGGAAATAACGAACTTGAGCGTGCAAAAGGGTACGATAGGCTGTAAGTTCATTGTGCAAAAACAATTTGTGCTATTACTTTCCCCTTATTCTATCCTATAGTAGGCTAATGCAATACTGTATATTATATAGGCAAATGTATTTACTGTTGAATACATTTGGTTCAGCTAATAAATTGCATTTAAAATATATTGATTCCTGTAATAATAATTATTTATTCATGTAATATTTATAAATCTGGGTGCGTTTTTGGTTGGAAATCAATGAAACATGGTACTGTATTACCTGGTCTCCCCTGTTTATTGTCACAGCTCATACAATAAAGCAAACACCCATGATAAACTATGCTTTTCTATCTAACGTTAGTAATTGCTGACTCTTTATTCCAACGCTGAGCGAAGCGAACTCTCTGCTCCTCGTCACGGTGCGTCTCAGGTGATTGTTATCACTCTGCCCAAGTAGCAGTGCTTCCCCTTCAGAAAATATAGTATTTATACGGTCAAAAGATGTCTGTGTCTCATATGGCCTTGATATTTGCACACTCTGTGACTATACAAACCACAACATGTAAATAGGAAAACGTTTGCGTTATTTTGTCACTCATTTGGATTAGTATGAAAGCTGCAACCATTCACATCCAGTCTTTGTGCTAAGCTAGGCTAGCGGTGGGTGCGTCAAACAGACTTATAGCACGCACGGAGATGAAAAAGGTATGTATGGACTTATCTAACTCTGGGGGGTAAGGTGAATAGGCTAAAGTCCCAAAAAGTCGGAGAATTGACTGCACTTCTAACTCCTGGTCTTAATTAATCATCTTTAACTGTAAATTCCCTAACATTAGTAACCCAAGGATTTTAATTGGTGGTGTTAGGCACGAATGAGGCACACTTTATCTCTGGAGAAGTTTATGTACAGGGCTTAGAATGAAAGCGTTTGATTGATGTGTGACATGAAACTTCAGCAACAGCTGGCCGAAGCTCAGAATAGTGTATTAACCCAGTCTAAGCAATGATTGCAATGCAGTTTGTAACCCAGTCAGATATGTGTAAAGTAGAAATGCAGTCCACTAGCTCAAAAATGACATTTCTGTCAACATTCACTCACTTTAAAAGACTCATGTCATTCGACTGTGTGTTTTTCTTTCTTCTGTGAAATGCAAGACAAGCAATGCTGAAGAATTCACTAGCATTGTTGTGCAATTACAAATAGAGACTGAACCCAAGCTTAAAAAGATATCAGAAAAATGTAACTTGTGCATTATGTATAACTCTCCTGAAGTCATACAGTAGTTTTAAATGAGAAACTAATAAAAAACAGCTAATTTTATATTTCATAGCTTGTGCTGATAAACAAAACAATTCACTGCACTTGTACCGGTGTGTAGCCTACAACTTTGAACAATGAGATTTGGATAGCCTACTCACCCTTCTGCAACATGATCCCCATCATGACTCTGTCCTGGGGTTTTGCAGAGTTATTAAGGCAGTTATAGTCTCCCAAATCAGCACTGACTCGACTTATACCGGTGCTGGAGCTCAGCGATCTGGATCTGCATAACTGAGAAACCTGTCCGTTGCTGCCCAGCATGGAGCCCACCCGCAGACTGGTCCTCACCACCAGCGTTAACAAACCCTTCTTCACTTGCTTCAAAAAAGAGAAAAGAAGTTTACTGCAGGTGAAACATGATGGATTATTGATAGATCGACATATTGTCTAGGCAGATTAATCAGGTAATAGTTGGACCTTTTTAGACTTTTTGAGTAAATATTGAATAAAATAAATATGTATTAATTTCCTAAGTATTACAGATATTATAGTATTCACGTATTATATTACACATATGGTATATGTTGTTCTATGAGGAAGCATATTGCATATTGGTACCTTAGTGGTACATTAGCACCTAAAATGTACATATTAGCACTTGAAATGTACTACATATTAACATTTTAGGTGCTAATGGACATATTAACACTTAAAATGTACATATTAGCACCTAAATGGACATAATAACACTTAAAATGTACATATTAGCACCTAAAATGTACTTATTAGCAACTAAAATCTACATATTAGCTCCTGAAATGGACATATTAACACTTAAAATGTACATTAGCACCTAAAATCTACATATTACCACCTAAAATATACTTATTAGCACCTAAAATGTACATATTAAGACCTAAAATGTACATATTAGCTCTTGAAATTGACATATTAGCACCTAAAATGTACATATTAGCACCTGAAATGTACAAAAGTTTACTTTTAGAAAAGGTACAGCCCCAGTGACAGCTTTTGTACTTTTTTTTCTGAGAGTGACCACAGTTTTTACAATGGCATTTTACTTTCATTTTCTATTAAAGTCACCATTAAATCATCCATCAGTCATCAACCACATCAGTCAAATGACAAATGAAGGCATCCAGGTGAGGCTACTCACTTTAAACTTGTGTAAGGCTTCTTCATGTGTCAAGCCGTGCAGAGATTCGCCATTCAATTCCAGTATCTCATCTCCTGTAATCCAGAAACACTAATATCGTTTTCTATCCACTTCTGGGTAATGCAGCTGTGAGTGTTGATGGGAAAGCTACATTTTGAGGTAAGTGTCTGGATAGATTACCAATTACAGACAGTATGATATTTAACTAATGAGTCCACCTTCCTGTAGTCTTCCATCAGCGGCCGCTGCACCTCCAGGGAAGATGGTCTTCACGTAAATCCCCATTGGGCCGTACATGCTGTCTCTGCCTCCTACTATACTGAATCCCAGGCCCTGGAATACCATGAGAGCGCTTTATATGGTGAGAACTCAATGCATCATACTATTTGCTGCATATCTGACTTGTGTTTGGTTACCTTGCCATGGCCCTTCATGAGCACGATGTTGGAGATGATGAATGCCTGTACACTACTGCAGGAGGGGACCAAGTGCGCTGAACTTAGAGAGCGAGATGGTCTAACCACAGCCTGCAGAGAACGGGGAGAACACTAATAATGTGGTAAGAATGTCAAAGGTCTACGTTCAGGACAAAAAAGGACAATATGAGATGTTTTCATTTCATGAAATTCTGCTTCACACAGCAGATGTTTTCATGTATTTGTGTTACATGTGGCATTCCCATGACATTCATTAAAAAATAGCCACTTTGCTGATGTGGAGAGGGAAAGCACTTTGTAGAGATGCTTTGAGCACTTACTGCAACAGCCATTTATTTGATTACCAGTATAATGATGGCCTTATCAAATAAAGTGCAACAGCTGAAAGGAAATTGACCATTCACTGTTGTAGTCTCATTCAGAACTGTTCAGGCAAAACAATTCCTGAACTTAAAACACAACAGCTGCACTACTTGTGTAAGTGTTTATTTTCCCAGTGTAAACACGTTATTCACTAACCATCCCCATCCAGTATAACCAGGCACTTTGCCATATTTAAATTCATTGTAATTTTTTCAGTCCTTCAGTCACCAGATTGTAAATGTGTGCTGCATTCTCCACAACTTTATACCCAGAATCAGCCTGCAAAAAGAGGACTTATGCTTGGCAAATATGGATCGGCAAAAAAAGTTTGAGCTTCTTAACTTAACAAAAACATTACATGATCAGCATTATTCAATGTATTTGGTGCAATTGTAAAAATGTTGCGATTTTGCTATATCTGTTATATCAGTTACAGTTTAAAAACATTTTTAAAAACATTTATATTTAAACTTTTATTTTTATAGTAAAAATGTATTATAATACAAATGTATCATTTATTTATATAAAATATATACTTGCAATTTTTATATTTATTTTATTACTATATTTGTTTTATTATATTTACTGCAAAATAAGTACATTTTGTAGTGGTGATGATGCCATATTATAAAAAAATTATAAAAAATTAATTATGCCATATATATATATATATATATATATATATATATACAGAATTTAAGCGCAAATAATTCTTAAATATATACATGCATGCATAGGTATTTATATATACAAAATAATTATATACAGCACACACAATATATTATGTAAACACAGACTTTTATTTTGGATGCGATTAATCGCAGTTAATTTTTGCACAGCCCTAATATATATATATAACAAAAGCAGATAAAAAAATGTCTAAAACTTAAATTAAAATCACAATTATTACACGCTAAGTCATATTTATCAGATCATAATGTCAAACATTTGTCGAAATGAGATCTGGTTTCACAGACAAGGCTTAGATTAATCCAGGATTAGGCCTTAGTTAAATTAGGATATTAAGTAGCTTTTATAAACATGCCTGAGACAAAACAATGCCACTGACATATTTTAAGGTATATCAGTGCAAGTTTTAGCTTTCAGTCTGTGACTAGATTTAAGCCTTGTCGGCACTATGAGTTAAGGCTTTTTATGCCATAACTCATAAGTTAACATTATGCCTTTTTATGTTATTTTCCTTGGTGCAAAGTGGCCTTTAATCAGATTGCATGATCCGGTCAACGTCCCTCACCTGTGGAATGCTATGAGGAAATTCCAGCTGTTGAGAGAGAGACTTCCTGTTGCCGTAAAATCCTGTGGTGGCGTGGGCGTGACACGGGAACAGCTCTGGCGTCTTCATAATGATGGTATCCAAGTCTCCGATCCAGTACGGGTGAACGCCTAAAAGCACGTGGACATGTGAAGTTACATAAGACGTCCTTTCGGTGTTGGATAATGAGCACAGTTAGACAACGTGAAAAGCATGTGCATGGATCAGTGTACTGTTGGGAAGCAAGAGAACATCATATGTTTACATTCAGGAGCTCAGAACATCTTCTGTTGGATGTTCTCAAGAGTTTATTAGGTTATATAATGAAAAAGGGCCGTTCATCTGCAGTGCAGTGTTGCATGAGTGTAGTCAGAGGTCCAAAATGGCATTAGCAAGATCAAATTATACTATACAACTAAATACGGACTAGTGTTATGACTCTTGCATTATGTGAAATATCTTGTGTTCATGCAGGGTTGTCTCACTGGTGGAGTTGGAGCGAGATCTTTTGCAGGACGTCTCTTGACAGCTCTGATCCTCATCATCGCAGTTCTTGCTGTCATCGTCTGACACCTTAATAATTGGCATAATCTGCATACATGAACATAGTGCTAGTTTGCAAGAAAAATGTAGGATTCTACAAATCACTTCGAATCAGGGCTGGTGACGTTAAAAAGTTTGGGGCTAGAAAGACATTTGAATTTTTTGACATATTTTTAAAGCTTCTTATGGGAGTATGTATGCACAACTGCAAATTACAATATGACTATTTCTTATATATTTTTTCACTGTAAACTGGCATCCATAATATATCCATTTTAGCCATGCCACAAAAAACACAACATATATAACCCTAATGTAGTTGAAGAGGCATCACAAAACACTCTAAATTTGAGGATTTTCCATCTGAAGGGAAAAACAGGGTTTGCTTCCCACCTTCAAGTTATTGTTGTTTCCCATCACCTCCTTTTCTCCGAAACTGTAGCCAAGCTGGTCTGATTCATTGACATTAGTGGACAGAGCTCTGGTTTCACATGGAGAGAAACCCTGCAGTACAAACAACAGAAAAACATGGAACAATTCTCCTCCAAATCTGAATGGGTCATACCGAAAGCCCTGTAAGATTCTGTCTCTTCTCCCATCCTGAATCAAATTAGTTTCTTCTGCATCTGGGATCTGCTCAGTGTCTTGAATGGATTCTGTTGGTTAAGGTCTATTTAATCACATTTGACCTGTGCATTTCAGATCTGCTCACAGAGAGGTAGAAGAACCAAGTGTGCTTAGCTAGTTGTGTGGTGTTTGCTAAGTTAAACATTACTATTGCTTCTACTTATACTTAGGGTATGTGATGGTAACACTTTATTTCAATGGTCCACTTTAGACATTCTACTAACTCAAAGTAACTTTGTAGTTTCTAGTTAGTAACTTTCTAGTTACAAGTCAACTAACTCTCATTAGTACATTATTAGTAGACTATCTTAATATCACTTTATTTTGATGCTCCCCAACAGACATTCCACTGACTAGAAGTAACTTTGCAAGTACATTTCAACTTATTTATACTAACACATGAGAGTTAGTTGACATGTAGTTGCAAAGTTACTAAGTAACTAGTTACTAGAATGTCTAAAGTGGACTTTCTGTCCCTAAGTATTAAACTCCTGTCCCTAAGTATTAAACTTTGGTTGTAACTTATCTCACAACAGTTGTGCTACACATTTAAATTATACCTCAAATCAAATAGCTTTTGGAAATGCAGTGGTCAAGATATCAAACATTTGATTTCAACCACCAAGAACCCAGTTTTCTCATAAATTACTGAAAATGTCATAAAAATAGTTTCTTTGAGGACTGTTTATCTTAAGCGTAACCTAAATCTCATTAGCAAAATGGTCATTTGTACAGATTTTTTAAAAAAATAAAAATGTTTCAGACTGCTTAATTCAAAAGAGCTCCTTCATTTTTCCAAGGCAGACGGTTTCCCGAATGTTTGAAGTTCACTGATTAGTTTAAGTATTGCTGTTATATGGCTAATTCAAACCATTCTCAACTTAACAGCATGCTCATTTTGTTGGCTTGAAAAATCAAACGAGAACAATAGATGTTTTGTTGAGAGGAGTAAGCTCCTGATTTTTGCATAGCAATGTCCGCCCGCTGTCAGTAGCATAGCAGAGTTTGTAGGAGTGGAGTTATTTGGGATCTCGGCTGGTCGTCTGACATTTTCAGAAAGCTTAGAATAGACATTCATCTATCCCAACCCACAGAACTGGCCTCTAATCAGATCAGAGGAATGTTTTGATGTTTCTAATGGACAATAAAGTCTTACTTCAGTACTGGTGGTTCTGCACACAGTCTTTAGCACAGGCTTTCTCTCTGGATCAGGCTCCTGTTTTCTTTGATCGTTTATAACCTGTCCGTTAAATGGGGCAAGCCTGTCTCCAAAGTAGACATAAGTGTCCCTAGAGACAACAAAGAAAATATGTGCATTAGGGCACTTGCATTTTCACTGTAATATGCATAGAGTTGTGTCACGTGTGTGTGGTGTATGTTTACATGCATGTATTTTTCTTGGGAATATGCCAATAGATTAAAGGGCAGCAATAAGGATGGACTGATAGACTGTTTTTGAATATACTATTAATAATGATGATGTTTATTATTTGTTAGAGGTAATTACACATGGATTGGGGCTAGTTTATATATATATATATATATATATATACAATATTATTATTGTTGTTCATTTAAAAAAAAAACTTAATTGTAAAGACTATTTTAATAATAAATATTATTCTAATGAATTATACTTAATTGATTTAATGATTCCATTTAATAATTTAATTAATTAATAATTATTATTGTTTTACTTAATTAATAACATTTAAATTTTTAATAATAAATATAATTTTAATAATAAATGTTAGTTTAATGAATTATGCTTATGTTATTTAATAGTTATTTAATAGTATTTAATAGTTGAAAGTAATTTCAATACTTTGATAATAAAAACAATTATTATTATTATTTGCTAGAGCTTGACAGTATGAACAGGGGCCCTTTTTTGTACATTTTTTATTATAAAAATATTATTATTATTATTATTATTATTATAAAATTATATAATTATATTCCAATAATAAATACTTATTATTTTATTACAATTTTAATAATGAATTTTATTTAATGAATTATGTTTATTTAATTTACACTTTATTTATAAATGTATGCATGCTTTGTGGGGTTTCATTAAATGGTGAACCCTTAAATTTAACTTTTAATGTACATTTTAATAATAAATATTTATTATATCCGTTGTAAATATTGCTCGTAAATAAGCTTTAATATACAATTTAACAAATCATTATCATTATTGAATTATTATTACATCTGAAAGTACTGTAAATCTTAGCAACATGTTACCAAAAATTGCAAAATGTGTCATTTTTGTCTCAAGGTTAGTGAAACTCTGAAATACTGGTCCATTTTGACCAGCAGAAAGATCTTTATTGTTGAGGCCTGTGTTTGAACAACATAAAACTGTTGAAATGAGCTGATTATTACCTGTGTAAATCCTGGCCAACAGTAGCCCCATTGTCGTTGGCCTGAAGTTTGTTATCACCCACTTGTAGACCCTCCTCACGTGTGGCGACACACATTCTCCAAAAACTGCTTTCCTGTTCCAGAGGAACCATCAGAACAGTCAGACAAAGGCACTACTATTTCTTCAAATAAAAAGTCTGTTAACAACCAAAAAAAAAAAAAAAAAAAATCCATGGTTTGACAGCTGAAGTTAATGTAACCATAATAGCTGTGCTTTATTAGACCATGAACCACATCAGTGACCTTTACTGGGCCCCTCTGTAGAGAGCCTTCACAATTAACTAGATGAGTGTTAGGCTCAGGAAACCGAAATTGTCAAGTGCTTGTAATTTTAATTTTAACAAACTTTCCAAAAAGGCCGTCTTTTCAGCCGTAGATTCATTCAGGTTGGAATACCAAACTACCCTACTGTGCACTGAATGCTCGGTTTGCATGCACTCTAAAAAATGCTGGGTTGTTTTAACCCAATTTTGGGTCAAATATGTACAAACCTAGCCATTGGGTTAATTTTTTAATTACATTTTTAACCCAACGTTTTTTTTTTTTTTGGTGCTTTGGCAGATACAGGCTTTAACAGTTTGTGGCCTGAGAGCCTATCGTGATCTGCAGCTACTCAGAACTAAGAATATGGAATAAGTGACAATAAGCATCAAGATATCAAGGGTTTGTGCATCAAGGGTTTGTGCGTATTTGACCCAAAATTGGGTTAAAACAACCCAGCATTTTCAAGAGTGTGAAATAAAGTTATGAAACATTGTATCCCACAATGCATTATGGCTGACTTGACCTTTCATTTTTAGTGTGAAGAATATTGCATTGTGGACTTACAACTGAGTATCATGTCAAGTCAAGTTATTCTCATTTATATAGTGCTTTTAACAATGTAGATTGTTTCAAAGCAGCTTTACGGAGATAAACATATAATTTAAGGTAACAAGAGATTGGTTTGGTTAGCGGTTCATCATACATTTTGTGGATAACACTTTACAATAGGGTCCCTTTAGTTAGTGCAAATGAATGCATTAACTAATATTACCTAACAATGCACAATACATTTGTTACAGTAGTAATGTTTGCTGTATTAATTACAACTGTTAATTGTTAGATCATATAGGCTTGGGTCCATATTAAACAATAAACAGATACAACAAGGGGTGGTGATGGCACAGTGGATAAGACACATGCCTTTGGTGTGAGAGATCCGGGCTCGAATCCACTGTGCGACACCAATGTGTCCCTGAGCAAGACACTTAACCCCAGTTGCTCCAGAGGTGTGTGACCTCTGACATATATATATAGCAATTGTAAGTCGCTTTGGAGAAAAGCGTCAGCTAAATGAATAAATACAACTTATTAAGTTCATGTTAACTAATGGAACCTTATTGTAAAGTGCTACAATTTGTGTGCAACTTACTCACACCATACTCTGAATGATATTTATTTTCTGCAGTATTATTATTTTGGCATCATCTATTTCAGATTGATCTGACACCAAAATTGACAATGTTTTTTTTCAATTTTTTTTTTCCTTCTTGGTCAGAATAAGTTACAAAGTGCATCAGCATTTGAGCCACAAGTCAAACGTCTGGCTATAGCAATCCCTTCTGAACATAGTCTATCTCCTATTCATAAAGTCCCAGCAGTGCCATTACAAAGTAAATGTTGTTACAACACTTTTTATATGTTGTGCAAAGGTCACAGAGTGATTTATCAGTATGTTATGCTTTAAGACTTCACAAGAATGTGAGAATGTCCTATGTGAGCTGTATGAGCTCTGCGTTCTGTGTCTCTCTGTATCACAACAAGCTCTCTTTTGTGCAGGAGTAATGAGTTGGGCAGAACCACAGAATCTCCCATCACACCAGCCATGTGATAATGATTCATTTCCAAGAGAGATCCCTGTGATCCCAGCCAGGCAAGCCAGAATTAACATTGGAAAACTTTTGAGAAATACTCTGACGTTCTCAGATATCATCATAATGAGACAGTCTCTAAAAGGTCTATAAGTGACAGGCTTATGAAAGATATTATCGCAGTGAAATTATTGTGCTGTGCATTTTTATCCATAGTCATTTTCTTAACAATACCCATTTTGTTTTTGTTTTAGTCAAGTCACATTTGCAGATTGTCTCAAAGCAGCTTCAGATTAATAAACGGCAAAAATAACAGTGTTAACACTTTAGAGACCGCCCGGTGAACGCATATTTTTCCCTCAATACAAAATAATACAAAATTGAGTAAAAAAAATGTTTTACCACTTATATTTAGTAAACGGCAGAATACATTAAACATGACAGAAAAGCTATGCATTATGCAGATTCATCTTTTGAAAAGCTCTTTCTAAAGTTTCTGGAAAATCGTTAATTAGTCCAATTAGAAAAAGACACTGTAAAAAAAAATATTGTTGGTTTAACTTAAAAAATTAAGTAACCTGGTTGCCTTAAAATTTTAAGTTCATTGAAATGGAAAAATTGAGTTCATACAACGAAGGAGATTGATTTAACCATTAGAAACTCAAAATATTATGTTATCTGAACTACATAAATTATTTAAGTTGATTTGACAAAAGAAAGAAATGTTGTGATTACAAATCATGAAAATATATATATATTTTTTTTACAGTGGGTTTAAGTTCAGAAAATAGCGATAGAAACTTAAATGATTTAAGTTCTTCCTAAATGAGACAAAAGTTAATAGACCTTAGTCAGGTTAGACGTCATATTGAATTTAACTCGGATGAAAATGAGGCTATAGACAATAAAGACTTTCTTCATATGAACATACTAACAACAGTCCAATCCACTAACCACACTACTTCTGTACTTTTCATTAAATATGGCGCTACCCTGATTAAGGTCTATTCTACCTGCATGTGAAAATCACATCACATGTCATCTGATGTAACCAATAGGAAAGCCCAGCTGCTGTGATGTCATCAGCAATACATACCTTGATGGAGAAGGACCTCCTAATAGTCCTTTTGGGGCCCTCTTGTCCCCTCTGAGACGCCTGGACACTGATGCTCCTCGTGATGCACTTTTCCGAACTTCCCATTGGCCCTTCCAGCGGGTCCCTGTGGTATCCCTCCTCCAGTCCAGTGTCCCAGGCCTCACAGTACCTCTCTTCTGGGCCGGAGGCGTCCTCATTGGTGCTGGAGCTACAGATGATGAGCGACCGTGACAGGATGGCCAGTTTCTTGGAGCGCAGTCCCGGTTTCCCCCTCTCCATCCTCTTGGTTCTCCTCCTGTGGTGCAGTTGCTGGTGGTGGGTGTTTCTCAGAGGCAGGATGGCCACAGAGGGAGGTTCTCTCCCAGGATGCATCACTGCTAATGGAGGGGGCCGCTCTGCAGAGGAGAGCAATTAGAAAATTCAGTTAGGAGTCCGTTCTACCATCCTTCTGTGCCCTAAGTGTTCTCAGAAATCATAGAGAGCTACAGGCACAGATAAGAGCGCTTTTCTTCTCGGCTCCATGACGGGAGGGGGGAAAAAGAGAAAGTATTGCCCCATGACCGTGAGAGGGAATTTTTTTACTGTATGCCTTCAAAATGAAGGAAACGCACAAATGAAATGGATTGCACAGATTTAAAGGGATAGTTCATTTTGGACATTTTGAATTCATTACATCATTTAAATGTGAAACTGTCAAGTTTATCAATCCAATTTTAAAATACAATCTGATTACATAAATCAATTCAATGTACAATATCAACAAAGCATTGTAAACAAAACAAGTAATGACAAGGAAAGGGTTTGATACAGTATCCTATAAAAAAATTTATGGAAGGTGCTAAGGAATTAATAAATATAAGATACAAAATAATAAGTAAAATCCATTATGAAGAAGAAAAACTGTAATGTATGGATAATGATGGTCTTTCATTTTATTAATCCAAAATTAAATATGCTGTAATTGAAGGGTGACTGTATTCCCCCAGTAATAATTGCATTTCATCCATGTATGCAAATCTCACTATACAAATATAAGCATTATTATAATCAGTAAAATAGTGAGGGGTCTAAACCTAATGGTTTTTGTTGTTTTCTTTCCTTACAGGCATGACGGGATCTGTCATGCATTATAAATGACCCCCTGCACATACATTAGGAGTCATGTGAGATGAGCTCATATTCACGCTGACATGTGGGAATATACTGTGACTGCTAGCGTCTAAATCGCAATGTACTTTCTGGATAAAGCGCTTGGTGAGAATGATGTCATAGTCACCTGGTGGTGATAGTGGGCATTACTGTGCCACAAAGAGAAGATTTCCTGTGCAAAGTTTCATGATCTCTCAGATATTCATATTTCTCTTTGTCATAGGCCTATTGAAGGCTTGTGGTCTGGGACCTTTTTAAAACCAGTGGATTGGAGCCAAAAGTTGTTTGCTAATATTGCTGTTTTTATTTACATCACAGTGTTTAGAAATGAAAGGGGCAGTAAAGATAGAATATGCAAAAAATATTTCACGTATGTCTTAATGTTATAGATATAAAATTCAATGCTTTAACAATCGAGCAGTATCGCCTTATACTGTACAATGCTATTGTGCCACTGAGAAACAACAACATAGAGACACACTTTATGTTTTCTAAAATATTGTACCATTTTACTGTTTAAAAAAATCATTTTTTGATATAGCTGGACATTCAGGTTTAGTAGCCTAGCTATCTTACTTGTCAAAGACTTAAAATTTGGTCTGTTTCTCTCAACACAAGATTCTTCAAAATTTCTTCTGTATTCCACAGCAAATGTTGGCCTAATGTGAATGGGTTGGAACGCAATGAGGGTGAGTAATTTTTCATTTTTGGGTGAACTATCCCTTCAACCATATTGTGAGACTAATAAATTGTCATGCACATTCTCTCCTTCACCCATCACAAATTTACTTGACATTTAATCCAAATCACTTTTGCATGAATCACTTATATGGAAAGACATTACCTTCAGTCTTAGGCTACTCAGATTGCTCATGTGAGAATTAAAATATTTCCT